CTAGAGAAGGTGATGAATAAATATTTAGTCTAGAAGTATCATATCTTAGGGCCATTAGAGCACTTATATATCTAGCTAGCCACACATATACAACCTAATATATCATTTGCTAACAGCATGATATAGATGTTGGAATGAAGTTAAGCACATTCTTTGTTATTTTAAGGATCCTTAGAGGTGATATTATTTTTATCTGAATATACCTAGGACAAATCTTACTAGCTATGCATATGAAGGATTCTTGTTTGATCCTCATGTCGAGAGATTACAGTATAATCCACATGTCAGTAGACCACAAATAGACTATTTGTCTCATGATCTTCAAAAGATTGTAAAATTAATATCAGTCATATTTGTCTAAATATAATACTTGAAATGCCTGTTTATTATACTAGACCTTACAGGCCCAAAGATGTCAACTGATGTTGCTGAGGGGGAGTTGATGCACGCTATGCTCTTTTTTCCTTGTATATGGTTTTGTCCCACTAGGTTTTTCTAGCAAGATTTTTAATGAAGCTGCATTGTATAGGGTATCAATGAATGATATACTCTTTTTCTTCTACTAGGTTTTTGTCCCACAAGGCTTTCCCTTGTTAAAGTTTTTTAATGAGACACATTCATATAATAGACATCCAAAAGGGAGTATTATGAATATAATAATATCTGTATAGATGTTCATATCTCTCCGATTATCTTCAATATCTTATTTTATCTCCATGATCCACAATTATCTCTTATTATTATGTAATCTGTAAATTCTACTAAAGTTGTAAAGTTATGTCTATAAATAGAGGAATGTATCATGTATTGAGGGCCTTGAATGGAATAAGAAATACTCCTATCTTCTCTTCTCCCTAATTCTCTTCTCTTCTTCTCTACTCTTTCTGCTTTGTTCATAACATTAAATATTTTTTCTTGAATTTTCAGTAAAATAGGCCCTTTAACATAAAAAAAATTAGCTTTAAAATTATGTAAACCATTTTTGGGGAAATAAACCTTTTCGTAAATTTTCTATATACTCAAAATAAAATTACATGACTTTTTCCAAGTTTTATTTGACATTAAATAATTTTGATAATTATTTTTCATGAGTTTGTTACCCTAATTAAGCTTTAGGCATTAAAAATATTCTTGAAGTTCTAATTCTTAAAATAACTTCTCTGAATCTCGTAAATACTTAATAACCTCTTTTTCTGGAACCTAAAAACTTGGAATGTTAAGGCCTGATTGTTTACGATTTGTATTTAATTAGCTGTTTTATTATATAATATGAATTGAAATTTATAAGCATGAACTTCCCCAAAATATAATTTCAAAGCCTTAACTTAATAAACCCAAGTCTTTAACCATGTAATTACTTTTTTTGTTTAAAGCGCGGTTATAACTATCTTTAAAATAGTTGGCACCCAGGTAAAAAGTTTAAAATAGTGGGCACCCGTTAATTAAAAGAGGGCTAATTGCTAAAATATTAAATTATATGGATGCCCATAAACTACCCTAATCCTTAGCCTCTCATATTTGACACTCTATAACCTCTCTAATAAATGAATTTTAGGAGTTTTCATTCTATAATTCAAAGGTTACACATTAAGCACTTATGTGAATTAATTTTTGATTTATTTTGTGTTACTTTTGATGAGGTTAAAGCCCTATAAGTAGCAAGGTATTCAAAACTGGACTGGTGATTAAACTGGTTGAGATAGTAGATTAAAGATCAGTGGTTTAAACCAGAATCAAACTGGTGATAATTTAAAAATATAAGTCAAATAAAATTTACAAAACACCATATTTAATTATAAAAATATTTTAATAAAAGTAATATTTCAAAATATATTATGCCAATTTCCACTTCCTAGTTCCCTCCTCTTCTTCAAATTTTGTATATATTTTATTATTTACAAATAATTCATATTGGGTGATTAGTGATAGGCTGGGCAGATGGGAAGATGTGCAAGATAAATATTTTATTAAATGCTGGATCGGGATGACGCATAGGCAAGCGTAAGAAGAAAAGAAGCTGAGCTACCTACACCACCTTATGTTTGAGGCTCAAGGCCATCCTTGATGTAAAAAGCAGCTCTTCCTGTTCATTGTTTTCAATTTAGACTCTCCCGCTCGTTGGTGCTTCTTCTATTTTCTGGTCTCTCTTAGTCTTTCGCAGAAAACAACAGATATCCTTGAAATCATCCTTTTTCTTTCTCTCCTATGCTTGTTACTCTAGAAATTTTTTGTTCACTCATTTTTATCAAGATTTCTTAAGACCTCTTTGAGACTATAGGCATTTTTTTCTGCATCTCTTTTGTTGTTTCCCTTCTCTTCATCCTCTTCTTTCTTCTTCTTTGCCTAGACAATCTTTCTTCTTTATTCCCAGCATTTTGGCGTGTTTTAAGCAAATAAAAATACAAACCGTAACTCTCTCCCAACCGGCGGGTTACTCAATCCCAGTTCATACTGATTTATACCGAGCCACTGCGAGTCAGATTTCAATGGAGTCAAAGCATCAATCGGACTGGACAATTGACTGAGTCACTGGTTTCCTGGCAAACCTGGCCAATAATACCATGATAAATAAAAGGGTTAAGATGCGGATTTAACAACCATGTTTTACAAAAAGGACAACTGGCACCATTTACTTTTGAAGGGTGCTAAAGTAGACACAAACATTAAAAAAGAGCGCTTTTTAACCACAGCTGTTGGAAGGCCCAAACGTTCGTCCACTTTGTGTAAGTGGGTTCCACGTCTTTCTCCACCTGGCAAGTGTTAAGCTTCGGACCATTTCAGACGTGGCAGGTAGAGAGTTCAATGACTCTATTAAAGTCTGAACGGCCCTGCAACCACATTTATACCCATCAAAGAAGGCGAAGACGCAGGGAGTACATGAAGTGAGGTCTAAAAGTGAAGTTCATGGCATCATCATCATCCTCGTCGACGGCAAGATACAGGAGAAGGGTTGCTTTATTGAGGCAACCTAGTCGCGAGGACAACTACGAACCGCCGATGAGGTATTGCCATCATGGGTTGGTAGCTCCCCGATGGACGGCGTGGACTGATAATAACCCAGGTAGGAGGTTTTATGGCTGCCTAAACTATGACCAGGTATGAAGTGGTTTTCTTGCTATGAAAAATGCTATTTTCTTCCTTCGTTCCGTGGTTGAAATGTTGGTATTGAACACGACAGGATGGGGGATGTGGCTATTTCTCTTGGCATGATGGGGACTTCGGTGAGAGGGCAAACACTGTGATCAAGGAGCTATTAGATTCTATTGACAGACTATATGATGAAAGTAGCAGGAACCAAAGAGGAGAGCATGGGCGGAGACTAAATGAAGAGCTCAATGTAATTCACAGTGAATTAAAGAAGCTTAAACGCAGACATGAGCTGAATGATGTGGAAGTGAGGAAGAGGGAAAAGAAGTTTAGAAGAGCAATGTTAGTGTCTGTAATGATATCGGTTGCAGTAGTTGTTTTGTATTTGACAAAGTAGGAGTGTGTGAAATTGATTGCAATATATTTGTTTGTTAGGAGATAAGGGTTATGATAGCTGTTTTGTAACAATTATGGACCACTTCATGGTATATTTGATGAAAAAATTATTCATGTGGTGAAGCAATTACTGATCCAACAATTATATAACAAGGGTGGTAATTTTGATGGCAATAATGTTAATTGAAATAATAGAAGAGAAGAACATATGAATTAAATAAGATGTAAAGGTAACCTAATTAATAATGAGGAACTGAAGATGTAACATAAGATAATAACGTTAATTAATTATAATGGACATTTGTACATGTCACTAATGTTGCTAAAAGAGTTACATCACATAGGACTTGCAAAATAAGAAGGCATCCATCTGAAAGACTAAGCATTAGTTCACCAAAATATAGACCTAGGAAGTGATAATCCCATGTAAAAGGCAATAAGGTAACCATAATCCAAGTAACGAAATACGTAGTACAAAATAGTCAAATACATAGTCTTAAATGTTTCTAAGCAATCTAAATGTCAGAGCTCTTAGAGTTGGTCTTGCTTCTTGTCTTCATCATTTGGCTCTGCAGTTGGAGGTGGGTACTTGAAATGCTTTGTTGGCCCTTCCACATCAACCCAAGAGGTGTAAATGGTAGTGTTGATGGCTGTGAAACAGGGGTCCCTTGCCTAGTGAATGGTATCCTCCTGGAACCCTCTGGTGCAGTGCATTTTAATGCTTGTGACAGTCGAAGTTCTTTCTCATTTGGAATTGGAAATTTACTCTGAGGGTCCGCGTAGTGTTGTATATGCTCCTGTGCAATACCCTCCTCAATAACCACCTCAGAACGCATTCCAGGCTGCATAAGTCAATGACATTGCTTAAATGACAGTAAGTTTGCATGAATTAAAATGGAAGAGAATAGTGTTTAGTAATACTTACATTATAGATGGTTCTCCCAGTTCCCTCATCAATTCTTATACCCATTCCACACTCAACTCTGGGCTTGTAGACAACCCTCTTTCTTGCTATGTGTTTGGAAGGTTTAGGTGGTTGTTGTGTCGATGGAGGATGATTTGTCGACTGTTGGGAGGGTAAAGTGGAATTAGGTGGTTGCTGTGAAGCTGGAGGGGGTGGTTGCTGTGTAGGTGGACTATGTAGTTGCTGTGAAGGTGAAGTGGGATTGGATGGTTGCTGCGTTGTGCCTTGGTTGGTTGTTTTCCTCCTTCTACCAGGTCGAGGCTTATTTGAGGGAGGTTCCTAGAAAGAAATGAAAAGTTAGTTTATAGTTATTGTAATAAATGAATATAAAGAAATTGGCACAAGTTACCTCTGTGCAAGTGCTTCTATTATGCCCAACTTTCCTGCAGAAGCCACATTTGTTTACTTGTCCCCGTTTACTTACTCTTTCAACAAGTGGTGTTTCTGAACCATTGCTCATGCCAGCTTTACTTGAGGTAGCTTGAGTAGCTTTCCTAGAGGCAACATTTGTCCTTCTTGCTACTTCTTCTGTCCTGATTCTTTTTTTCCTTGGTCAGCCAGGCAATGTGCACTCAGGTGGTGGTAGCATAGGGATAAACTGTTCTGTATCCCAGAATTGTTTGCCCCTCACAGGTGCAAACTTTGTCCTATAGCTAGCAATGTAGGTGTCCTTGTGGTAATAGCATGAAATATGGGTGAGGGGCTCCAATTTATAGTGATACATAGCACGAATAGCATGTTGGCATGGGATTCCAGTTAAATCCCATGCCCTGCACATGCACGTTTTCCTAGTGAGACATACTGTGTGCCTATCTTGTCCCTCAGTCACCTCAAATCCCTCATCCCCATTGAAAAAAACTCTACATGTAGAGGACAACAACCTATTTGCTTCAAATAAGTCTAGACATTTTGGACTATAGTTGCCTTTCCAATTCCTCACATTTTGCTCACTCCCAGCCCATTTTTCCATCATCTTAACCCTTATCCCATCAAACATTCTAATAACAGGTAGATATCGATATTCATCAATCCAAGCATTTAATCTCTCACTCATATTGTTGTCTAGAACCCAAGACAAGCATCTATTACTGAAAGAAGCTCTTACCCAAACAGATGTAGGGTATGACACCATTGCTTCAGCTGCCTCTTTATTAAGTGCTCCAAGTGCTTTGAGATTGTCTTTGAATTGTTCTTCAAACGTACTCCAAGCACAAGAGAAAAATTTTTTCTTCATCTCATTCCCTCTCCACCTTTTGCTCCAATTAGCATAAATATGCCTTGTACAAAGTCTATGCTCGGCCTCTGGAAGTATCTCTGTCACAGCATGCTGTAATCCCTACATGTATAGAACTAGTCAATTAAATGTTCTCATTAAAACCACATAAGTCATATGTAAATCAGCAAAGGTAACTAATCATACCTTCTGCATGTCTGACATGAAAGTTACTTTGCCACCATTGTGAAGATTAAGTGATATCCTAAGCCACTGAATGAACCAACTCCAATTCACACCATTCTCTTTATCAACCAAAGCAAATGCTAACGGGTACAATGAGTCGTTAGCATCTAAACTAACAGTAGTTAACAGAATCCCTCTAGCTTTACAATTTAGAAATGTTCCATCAACTCCAATCAATGGTCTACACCCAACTTTCCAACCAACCTAAACCAACAATTTTGACTCGTTAGGACAAATTGAAATATAAAACAACAAATTAACAGATTATACCATATGTGACAGAAATCTAAACATCATACCTTTGCTGCATTAAAACACAAATACATTCTTCTAAAAACTCTTCTCCCTTGTTCCAAAGCCTCGTTACTTATCTCCACACTAATATCTGACCCAGGATTTGACACTTTCAGTTCATTGCAGTAAGCTTCTAACTTGGAGAATTCATCTACGAAGCTCCCATCCATGTGTTGTACTATTCTCCTCTTTGCCCTCTTGCACTTATGTAAGCTCACGTGGACCTTGAACTCACACTCAACATCATTCTTCATTTCACAGATGCTGTAATTAGGTCTCTCCTGTATTTTCTCCTTGAAGTGTTCGGCTAGCCACTTCACACTTGCCCTAGGGTTCTTGAAAACCCTACCACACCTGTGCTCATTGCACAATGTCTTCACCTTGTAGCCCACATTATTCCCATCTCTTGATGCATATAAGGTGAATGGGCAGCCTTCTTCACATATTGCCTTTAATAACCTTTTCTCACTTCTAATAATTTTGATATTCACCCCTTTCGAAATAGCATAGCTATCTATGGCGCTCCTGAGCTCATTTAGGTCTAAGAAAGTCATGCCTAACATAAAGAAAGGCCGGTCTCCCAAGCCCTCCAACACGCTAAGCCCAACTCTTTCATTTGGAGGCTCACAATCTTCATTAAGGCCCATATCCTCATCTTCCCCTTCACTATTTTCAGATACTTCAAAATCATCCACCAAACTCTCCTCAGTGTCAGAGCTGGCACTATTTCCAACATAATTCGAATCCTCACTATCAGAACCTTCTTCATCCTCACTATCTCCCCCTTCCTTACTTTTATCCTCATCCTCATCTATAACCAATACTCTTTTCCCTTTGTCAATTTCTTTAACAATGTCATCCTCACTATCTCCCCCTTCCTCCCAATGTTCAGGTAAATCTTCAATTCCATCATCATCTATCTCTTCTAAACCATCTACATCTACACACTCAATCACCTCTTGTTCTGGATCTCTGTCATTTTCATTGCCCTGTTCCTCTTCGTCATTTTTATTGCCCCCTACCTCTCTCTCATCTTGATTGACCCAAACCCATCTCTCATTTTCCCTACTTCTTCTTACCCACTCACCTATGCTTCCATGCCCCTCACTCAATTTTTCCTTCGTCCTTTGCACACTTCGTTTTTCCAAATCAAACATTTGACTCACCTTTTTAAGTAGCCTCACATGCTTCTTGTCACACCTTACTTATATAATATCTTAGCATTCATTTAGAACCATTCCAGACCACTTTGGATGGTCTTAAGCTTAAAAATTTCAATTTGGACGTTAATTTTCAGAAAATTACTGTTCACTGTCCAGTTTTCAGATTACTGGTCCAACTTTGAAAAATCATAACTAATTCTAGAAAAATCGTATGGAGGTGTTCCAAAATTCTACGGAAAGCTATTTCAATGCTCTTTAAGGGAAAAATATTCAACTGAACTCATCCTCACTGAAAACGTACAGTTTATTGGATTAAAATTACTATTTGTTTGGTAAAATCTGGACTCTCCAGATTCTGTGCCTTAACTTTGAAAACTCATATCTCTTTGTATACACATCCAAATGATGTGATTTACCACTCATTTTAAAGCTTGGGATGTGCACTATAAGTGTACCAAATTCCGTAGCTTAACTCATTCATATGGTAGGTCGAACTGAAGCTTGAAATTAACTGCTTCAGGACCTACGTTTTATCCCTTAATATCCCTTTACTTTAATTCTTTTTATTTCTTTGGCATACCTAACATGGGCTTACTTTTTCCCATTCATGCTCATATACTTTCATTCATGCCATAAACATCCTAAGCTCATACATTGAATTGATGGCATTCATAACATAACTTACAACATAGGAGAATTATACATTGAATAATAACATCAATCATTAGCATTAATAATTCTCCACTTCTTCTCCTTGCTTCTCATGCCCTTAGTGCCCATCATTGATTTGACCTAAATGGTTGGTTAGGGAGGGGGTGAGATTTGGGGGAATCTCAGTAGCAAACACTACCACATACATGCACAAGATGGATGCTAGTGTATGGTATGTAGTTTTTCATAAATTTAAGTTAATTAGTGACATGCCATCATGCTTTATGCTTGGTATAAAAATGCATGGCCATGGGAACATATTAAAAACAGCATTTCCAGCAACAATCATCACGTCACAACATCATTCAAACAACAAATACAAACCAACACATAAGCATACCATGTCAAGCACATAAAGGGTAAGTTCACTACCTTGCACCTCAAGCTTTCCTCTTACTTTTCCTTTGACTCCCTTGACTTTCCAACCATGTGGGCATTCGGCCAACATCACTAAACATCCTCTTGGATGTTTCAAAGGTCCTAAACATAACCATAATGATGACACAATCCATTAGGACCATTAGATTACATAAAGTTCAAGACTAGCTTTCTTGAACCTCAACCCCTTTCTCTTAGTCTTAGGGTTTTCTTTCTAACTTTTCTAATATAAATCTTATCATTTTACATCCTTATGATCTATTTCCTATCAATTAGGACCACTTTAGATGGCTTTAGATTCAAGAAGATCAAATCTGGAAATTTTGGTTCGCGGGTACTGTTCACGCAGAATCTCCAGAATTTTTGCTCAACTTTGAAAATTCATAATTAAATCTATAAAACTCCAAATTGAGTGATTCCAAGTCTCACTGAAATATTATTAAGTTAAATTTAAAGGAAAAATAGTTTCAGGAACCAATTCTACTCATAACAGTACCAGAATTGTACGGAACTCGACAATCTCCCAAAAGCTTAACACTGTTTCCAGATTTCAAACCCTAACTTTGAAAAATCACCATAAATCGTACACATATCCAAATGAAGTGTTCTACCCATGGATTTAAAGCTCATAGAGTGTACTTTAAGCATGCAAAATTTCAAAACCAGATATGAACAGTAAATAATTCGAAAAAGCCATCAAATCAGCACGTAATTCTTCCAATTTTCACATAGATCCACTTGGATCTACCATACTTTGAGGTGTTCTAGCAAGATCTAACAACCAAACTCCCTTCCCCACTCATCAACCATTTCGACCAGCCATCAAAAGGGAGAGAAGACATATTTTCAACCATAAAAGAGAAAGAAACCAAGGCAAGAACACATCTAGAGCCAAGAACTCACCTTGAACCTTGATTGTATGACCAAAGTTGATGCCTTTCTCTTGGTTTTCCCTCAAAACTCTCTCTTTTTCCCTCTCTTCATGCCTTGCACGAAATTCCCATCTGATTTAGGGGAGAGATGAGCTCATTAATGTGTACAAAATATCCCACCAACCATCATTAATGTTATGCCAAGTGTCATTAGCCTACTTAATCTTAATCCTCTCTCTTAATTAACTTAAATCATAATGTAATTAAATTTCAAAGTCAAGATCCTCTCCATTGGTAGCTTGACACTTGGAAAGCTTTAATTACCATCCATTAAAGGCTTGACAAGTGGCGACTTGTGGCCCAAGTAAAGTGCAAGACTCTGATTAATACTTAATCGGTGCACTTTTACTCCGGGTTTAACTTCTTTTCTCTAATTACAGTGCTCTGGCCTCTGTAATTATTTTCTGTCAGATCCATAAATTCTCTTTAATTTTAGAGAGTACCTATGAATTTTCTTAGCCCATAACACTTCCTTTAAGCCTTGCATAAAATTCATTTACTAAAATACCCTTTTATCGGCAAAACCAGCTCTTTAATTTCTTAAAGCCACTCTACTGGCCTTTTGGTTGCGGGACTAATTTTATAAATTAGTACAACCTTTCAACCCTTTAACCTCATTTTTGTATACACTTTTGAGGTCTCTTGCTATTTCAAATAATTACCTCAAACGGTATACTTTTTACCGGTCACAACCTCATAAATTCCATTTAAGCTGCCTCAGGGGTATTTTCATCTTTTCTCTTCATAGAAGAGTCTTAGAATATTATTTCCCATTTTTTGGGATTTTCTTGGAATTTTCTGTACACTCTTCCATTTTTGCCCTTGCTGGTCATAACTTTTTGAATTTACGGTTTTACCCCTGCTTAAGCCTAACCTCATAGAACTATCTCTTTGAGGTTTCTAACTTACCCATTGGCCTGTATCTAGCCTCTTTTCTCTTTTTGGGCCTTCGAGACTTTACTAGAGCCTCTAACCTTAATTATACTCGAGCCCCTGAAAACTTTTACTTTGCAGTTTAGTCCCTAAAACTGCTTTAACTTCCTTTCTCATCTTTGGGACTTCTGCTCACAGGAGTCTGGTAACCTATTTAATTTAGGCTATTTTTTGAACTTGTAGGCATAAAAGTCTGGATGTTACACTTCTCTTCCAATGTCTCGTACTTCTTGGCCTCCGTGTCGTCTCCTCCATTTGCGTCAACATTGCCCGGTTCGACAGGAACATTATCACCCTTGTTTGTCGCCATTCGCACTGCAACAAGTAAATCCCCAAATTTATTAAGGGCTTCGACGCTATTTCACTATTCAACTTAAAATACAACAACTTTTTTTCTAAATCGATGCTTACCTGTGAAGAATCTGCTGTTCCCTCGTCCGTAATCCTTCAACAATCTTCGATCACATACTCTTCGATGGACCACACTTGCTAACCCTCTATCTCAATTTCTCATGTTTTCAGTTTCCCAATTCAGAACGCTACAAGAATCTCAATTCTCAGCTTTCTCGTTCTCTCCTTACCCCATCAACGCTTTGCCTCCTACTCTTAATGTCTGATTTCGCACCTCACAGTTAATCTAATTTTTAGGTCTCAGCCACATCACCATTTTCTTTCTGCCACGTCACTATTTACTCCCTGCCACTTCATCATTTTAGGTCAAAATTTTCTCACCCCCATCCTTGTAACCGTCAACGTTAAGCCTTTCAACGGCTGTGGTGAAAAAGCGCTCTTTTTTAATGTTTGTGTCTACTTTAGCACCCTTCAAAAGTAAATGGTGTCAGTTGTCCTTTTTGTAAAACATGGTTGTTAAATCCGCACCTTAACCCTAAATAAAAGGTTATGTAATACACAATTTGGACACCTAAGTAAATAAGAATACACCTCTCTTTCTCTACAATTCTCTCCTGTCTTGCTCATTTTTCTAATTTCCTTTATATTTTCTTATTTTTATAATATGTTATCAGCACAAGTTCGCTCTAAGAATTTAAAGTATAACTTTTTTATAAATTAACATGTTCTTGTGGTATATAATAATATTTTATATTACTTTTCATGTATCCAATTATTTCTTTACCTAATTATTATTTGCAATTTTAATTTTCTATGTTGTTATGTGTTATTTATTTTTGGCTGTTTTATTTTATATTAGAATTTTATTCTGTTGTAATTTTATATCCTTTTATTATTGTTTTATTGTGAAATATTTTATTTTTTTCATTTTATTTTATTTTTGCATTTATCATTCTCCATTTGGTAATTCACGGTACTAATTCATTATTTATGTTATTTTATAATTAATATAATACATGTAGTTTAAATATATATATGTGTGTGTGTATATGTATAGTTTATGCCGTTTATATTTTTCATTTCTTTTATTGGGTTTAGTTTTATTTATTTATGTTGTTTATATAATTTATTTACCTTTATATTATTTTTATTTGATTATGAGTTTATATTTATTTAATTCATTTCATTACAGCACTTTTTGTCTTAGTTTAAAACGTTTGTATGTGCATTTATATATATAACATGTATATTTATTTATTTACTTTGCTGTAATATTTGTATAGTTGGGGAAATTGATAATGAATATGATCATTTTGTATTGGTGGAATTGATAATTGAAAGATAATAATATTTTGTCTTGGATATTGAAACATAATTGTTGAAACAATAATATTTCTATAGTCACAAATATTGCAATGTGGCCAGAAGTCATGTCGATAAACATGTACCAATGTATTGAAAGTAAATATTAAAAATGGTTATGAAGGCAAAAAGACCATGGAATGTTATGAAAAAAACTAAATATATATTTGGTCCTTTAATTTTGTAGAAGGTTTCAATTTAGTTAATTAACTTTAAAAAGAATACATTTGGTCTTTTAACCCTGAAATCATTGTGCTTCAATGATTTTTTTTGTAACAATCATGGATGTTTTAAAAATTAAAATTAGTATGTTAGCATTTGAGAATA